TGGGCGGCCAGGGCCAGGTTTGGGGGGTGAGGGTGGGTTGTGGGAGGGGGGACAGGGCCCAGGCCGGCCTGGTGCTGGCCTGGGGGGTGGGTTGGTGGGTGCCAGGCCGTGGGAATTCGTGGGGCACCCACCTTGCGCCAGGCATGGCTCCGACTAATGCCCCTCCCCTAAAGGGGCTTCCCCTCCTCGTGCAGGAGTAGCCCCCCCTTTTTTTACCTTTTTATTGAATTTATGGGGGTGACCTTGGTTAATAAAAGTATATAGCTTTCAGGTGTACAATTCTATAATCCATCGTCACCCCACCCCCCCCCCAAATCAAGTCTCCTCTTTATCAGGTAAGTGAGCTCTCTTCTAGATTAATGGGAGTTTGGGGGTGTCCCTCCCCCCCCCCAGTTATAAGTGAGTAATGAACTCTGAGAAAAACTTGCCAGCATTTACTGTGTAATATATGCACACACATATATGTACACACACAGCACAAATATAGATGAATATATGTGATTTAATGTGCACAGACATAACTTCTAAGTTAATACAGAGAATTACATTAGCAACATTCACGGATATTGTACCAGCATTCATGGGATAAACTCTATCAATCGACCGATAGATATTTCACACACACACACACACACACACACACACATCAACACACGTTGTTGGATTTGACTTACTAATATTTTATTTAGGATGTTTGCATTTAAGTTCAGAAGTGTTATTGTCTGTGAATATTTTTGGTGCGTGTCCTGTTCTTGTCTGGTTTGGGAAGCCTTGCTACTTTTGTTTCAATACATGAGCTCAGTAGCTTTTCTTTATTTCGGGAAGTCTGCCTGAGGATTTTTTTTCTGCCCTCGGCGTCTTTGATGACGCTCACCTGTGAAGGTCGTTGGGCCCGTGTCTTTCACTTAATTGGGGTCAGGGAGAGCCTTTGGAGTACCGTTTCTTTTTTTCCTTCACCAGCTTTTAGTTTTATTGATCTTTATTATTGTTTTCTGTTATAGTAATTTCTCCTTTTTGGGGCTTATTCAGTTTCTAGCTTCTTTATTGAACACTTATTTTTTTTTCCAGTCTTTAAAGTACTAAATGCATTTAATACTCTTATAAGTTCTAAAAACTGCTACAAAAAATAAAAACTGCTACAGCTGCATCCAAGTTTGAATAAGTGAATGGTTCAGTGGTTTAATTGTTGAATGGTTCTAACTAATGAGTAATGTCTACTTTTATTTTCTTTTTGATCCATGCTTGTTTTGAGTTAACTGTATATTTAAATAAGCTTAATGCTCTTATTATTTTCTTTATTGGCATATTTTTCTTTTGTTCGTTAGTTTATTTTGTTCGTTATTCCATACATAAGTGAATGCGTGGTGTTTGTCTTTCTCTGACTGGCTTGTTTCACTTAGCATAATACACTCCAGGTCCATCCATGTTGTTGCAAAAGGTAAGATTTCCTCCTTTTTTGTGGCTGAGTACTATTCCATTGTGTAAATGTACCACAGCTTTTTTATCCACTCGCCCACTGATGGGCACTTGGGCTGCTTCCAAATCTTGGCTATTGTAAATAACGCTGCCATAAACATAGGGGTGCAAATTAGTGTTTTGGGGTTTCTTCCGATAAATTCCCAGAAGTGGAAAGATTAAAAATGGTGGCGGAGTAAATGGATGCTACACTGACACGCTCCCAGAACCAAACTGGAATTACAACTAAAATACAGAAAAAACACCCTGAATAATCAACTGAAGACTCGCTGGAGAGAACCCTGAAAACCAAGGACAGAAAGTAGAGACCACATGCAGTGGTTCTCAACCTTCCTAATGCCGCCACCCTTTAATACAGTTCCTCATGTTGTGGTGACCCCCAACCATAAAATTATTTTCGTTGCTACTTCATAACTGTAATTTTGCTACTGTTATGAATCGTCATGTAAATATCTGATATGCTGTATGTGTTTTCCGATGGTCACGACCCACAGGTTGAGAACCGCTGAAGAGGAAGGAGAGAGGGAGAGAGGGAAGGAAAGAGAGAGAGGCATTGATGTAAGAGAGACATTAATTGGTTGCTTCCCACACATGCCCTGAATGGGGCCAGGGGTCGAACCTGCAACCCAGGGACATGCCCTTGACAAGAAATCGAACCCATGACCCTTCAGTGTGCAGGCTGATGCTCTAACCATTGGGAAACACCTGTCGGGGTTCTGTGTGCAGTTTTGAATTCCTGTAGTCATAGTTGTGAAATCATCTTTGACATTAAAAAATTTTTTTTCACAGCCTATTACTTCATAGTTTTATTCGGAAAAAAACATGGCATCATATATACCCACTGATTTGACAAGAATATGTAAAGACGTGAATGAGGGGAAAAGCCACAAAAAATTAAGGTAAAATAAGATATAACTGTTAAAATGTTAACAATATATATCTAGCAGTACGTCAGTCTGCCAATGAAAAAATGTAAAGGCCATATGAGGGTTGGTAAGGATTCGAGTTTGGAAAACCTTATTTTCCTGGAGGGTGGGACCTATTGAGATAGGTCAGATTAGCGCTGGCTGCTGGCTCCTTCTCCCAGACCCACCTTGACATGCCAAGAGAGAGAGAAAGAGGTTGATGGATGGGAGAAACTAACCAACATTTGAGAAATCCCAGGGAGGCCAAGGCTGTTGGTTCTGGGTATGGATATGGGTAGAAAATGGCCGTTCAGAGCAGATGGAGAAATTAGGAATCTGTTATAAAGAGGGTACGTAGAAAACTTCCATACCTTTGGGAAGGAAACATCATATCTGAAAAAATAACAAATACTTTTATGACTAACTCATGGATGAAAGGAGTTACCCCTAAAGGAAATTAGAAAAAAACTTAGAACTGAATATATAGTAAAATAAAGAAAAAAGGGGGGAATCTTTACCTACTGCATTAACTATGCAACACATGTAAAAACTGTGAGATAGCTACTTTAGTGTTTAGAGAGAAATTTATAGCCATAAGATGGATATTATAAAATAAGAAAGGCTGAAAAATTAATGAGCTAACAGTCAGCTTTAAGAAATTAGAGGGAGCAACCTGAACTGAATAAAACTTGCTTTTTCTGGAAATAAAATATTTCAATTCAGTTCCACTTAAAAAAACAATAGTAGTTTCCTTACTCCAGCTATGAGCACATTAACCACATTTTCACATGCAAAAAGCTTAGGTACCTTCAGCTGCTTACAAGACTTTCACATTCATGTGAAGTATATGACTTTATTACAGTTATGTATATATTTGTGACGTTCCCATCTGGTAACCTTTTAAAACTCACATGTCATATGATCACAGAGTAAACCGCAAAGTCAGTGTGTTTGGCCCAGCCATTCTGGCTCAAAGGTTGAGCGTCGACCTGTGAACCAGGAGGTCACGATTCAATTCCCCAGTCAGGACACATGCCCGAGTTGTGGGCTCCATCCCCAGTGTGGGGCGTGCGGGAGGCAGCCGGTCCATGATTCTCTCTCATCATGGATGTTTCTCTTTCTCTGTCTCTCTCTGTCTTTGTCTCTCTCCCTCCCCCTCCCTCTCCCCTTTCTTCTCTAAAATAAATAAAAATATATTTTTAAAAAGGTTAGGAGAGTCTCTTTTGAAAAACTTTAATAGTTATATTCATATAAGAATTCAATAATTTTTTTTGAAACTATAAACTTCAAGCGAAAGCTTGAGCAGTTTAAGTTATCTGACTGGCAATGCAGGGAATTCTTACCAGGTTGTGCTATTTGGCTTATAGTTTGTCATTTCAAGTGGCATACGATTCTTTTTTTTTTTTTAATATATATTTTATTGATTTTTTACAGAGAGGAAGGGAGAGGGACAGAGAGTTAGAAACATTGATGAGAGAGAAACATCGATCAGCTGCCTCCTGCACACCCCCCACTGGGCATGTGTCCGCAACCAAGGTACATGCCCTTGACCGGAATCGAACCTGGAACCCTTCAGTCCGCAGGCCGACGCTCTATCCGCTGAGCCAAACCGGCCAGGGCGGAATACGATTCTTTATGCAGAGGGCAAAACACTCAAAGAAAGTTGAAGGAGGATATAAAGATTATCCGACCGTCACCATAATAAAAATCACGGATTTAAGAACTTATGAATGAGTTATAAGACCTGTGAAAGGCTACACTTTAAAACTGTTAGGAAAAAATCTAAGAGAATTTTGCCATTACCTTGGAATAAGGAGATATTTCCCAAACAAGACAGACAACACATACATATCGGCAAAGAGTGAGGATTCTTAAGTCCCTTCCAGCTTTACAAATTTATGATAGCGTCACTTAGACCTGTTTAGCATTTGAATAGGCTCATCAGACCTGCTTATCAAAGCACCCATCAAAAATCGCTGGAAATGATAGATACTGTGTTGTAAAGTACAGAATAAAGACGTGTGCTTTTAAGTTATAGAGAATGTTAAACATAGCATTTTCTTTTCCTTGTCATAGTAAATTTGTTCACTATGAAGAGCAGAATTACCAAGGTGTCACCCCATCGCAGAATCAACCAGCTCCAACGACAGAAAACGAGACATTGATATGTAGACCATGCCCTGCATCCTCGAAGTCAGAAAAAACAGAAGTTTATTACCCAGATGATGACTATCCAGGCATGTTGACTTATCTTTTCTTTTATGGAAATGAAAAGGAGTTTTATAGCATTGAGTCAAGATAACAAGTGAAATACATTGAAATACTATTTCCTTATTCGTAGCAATTAGCAATATCTTTCGATATAAACCTTGGCTTTTTAAAGGGGACATAATCACACGGCTGGTTGTGTTGCCTCAAGAATCAAGAGGTCACGGTTTGATTCCTGGTGAGGGCACATGCGCGGGGTTGCAGGCTCGATCCCCAGTAGGGGGCGTGCAAGAGGCCGCAGATCAATGATTCTCATTGATATTTCTCTCTCTGTCCCTCTCACTTTATCTCTAAAACAAACAAACAAAAATCAAGAAAAACATGTTTATTTTAAAAATATAAAGGGAACATAATCTAAATACTGATCATAATATTAAAAATAACAGCGATACCACTGCCACCACCAAGAACATGGGACATTCCTGTAGCAATTTACAGTTCACATCACTCTTTCACAAGTATCATCTTTTTTTCCCGAGGACAACATTCTCCTAAATCCCAGTGCCTTCTGGCTGTTGCCACCTTTCTCTCCACCCCCACCTCTACCCCCACCCCTTCACAAGCCCCTCCCCCCCAAAATTGGGAATATTGGCTGAAATAGAACTTACTGTTTCATTTGTACTCATTTTGTTTTGCTTGTCATTTCTGTGTCTTATCACCTACTTGATTGTTGCTCAGTGCCTTGCACTACATAAATATTTGTTAAGTCAATGAGGAGAAAAATGTATTTGCTCTTTAGCAACCCCGTTGTCAATAACTCCCCCATTCTTCTTCATGTTAAAAATCTACCAATCAGGTAAGTCATAGGAGGAATGAGAAAAAGGCCCTCTATAACTTTTCTGAACTTGTATCTAAACATTTTCTGGGCTCAGTTACCAAATTACAGTTAATAAAAAGGGGTTTGGTATGTATTCTGTAATGAGGATTCACATTTTTGTAATAATAAAATCAAATGCTAACATTTACCTTAGAAAGCACTTGCTGTGTGCTTTAAATATATTTACCAATTTAATCTTTACATCACCCTATGAGGCTTTCACTGTAACAATCTTTATTTCAAAGGTGGGTATAGTAAAACAGACTGATAACTTACAGAGTAAACCGCAGGACAGAGGTAAAGCTCATAATTGCGCTGGGAACCACGGTGTCTTGACTCAGAGCTTGTGTAAATCCGTTAACGATATAATGATCAACTGTATTGCTTGGTGTGTGGAATTACTACGTGGTTATTCATTTAATAATGGTTTGATTCTCAGATTATCTTCCAGAAAGTAGAACTCAACAGGTTGTTGCTCCAGTTCCCCAGAAGAAGAAAGAGAAATCAAAGGAAAAAAAGGATCAAACTTCTCCTTCTCCGAAAGCCAAGGAGAAAAGGCTTGTATCCTATGATAGGACAGGTGCGTGGTATTCCTTGTTTAGAAGATTCGATACTTTTTCAAGTTACGCTGCGGTTTTGTGTGCTTACGTATATTGCACAATGATTTTAGACCAGCGGTTCTCAAGCTGTGGGTCGCGACCCTTTTGGGGGTCGAACGACCCTTTCACAGGGGTCACCTAAGACCATCGGAAAATACATATATAATTACATAATTTTTTTGTGATGAATCACTATGCTTTAATTATGTTCAATTTGTAACAATGAAATTGGGGGTCACCACAACATGAGGAACTGTATTAAAGGGTTGAGGCATTAGGAAGGTTGAGAACCACTGCTTTAGAAGAAACAGTCTTACTGCATTTTGTGTTTGGTTGCTTAAACAATTATTTACCATCTTTTTGAAAACCTAAAATATCAAGAGATTAAACAGTTGACAGACTGTTCAATCACTGTTTTTACTTAACACAAATCTCTGAAGGTTATGATTATAGAACTAGAAATAAGATAAACTTTGATGGTTTTGTTTTATACTTTCAGTGGCACTTTCTGTAATTACTACATTTAATAGGTTTACGTCTTTGTCTGACAAAAAGTTTAAATCCCCAAATAAATAATTCATTGAAACAGATTTATCTCCACTAGCATTTTCCAGTTTATACTCTCTCTATACCGGAAATTCTTATTTGTATTAATATTTTAAGTTTTATAGGAAAAAGAAAGACTTCTCACTTGAAGTGCCATGGTCCAGGGCAGGTTCATCATAAAGTTATTGAAGCTTGAACTTTGGGGCCCCTCGTTACCCAGGCTTCATGTGTTTTTAAGTACAAATAGCACAAAACCCGCATGGATGTGGTGGTGTCCACGCCCTTGTCTAATCCCCTCCCCTTAATGTGGGCAGGACCTGTGACTGGTTCCAACCAAAGCAAAGGTGATGCTGGGCTGTCATTCCTGTGATTATATTACACTAGAGGCCTGGTGCACGAAACTTCATGCACTCGGTGTGGGGGGGGTTGTCCCTTAGCCCAGCCTGCACCTTCTCATAGTCCGGGACCCCTTGGGGGATGTCCACCTGCCAGCTTAGGCCCGCTTCCCCGGGGGATCGGGCCTAAGCTGGCAGTCAGACATCCCTCTGGCAGCCCGGGAGCCCTTGGTGCTAAGCCACAGTCTGACATCCTTAGCACTGCTGAGGAGGCGGGAGAGGCTCCCGCCACCGCCACTGCGCTCGCAGCTGTCAGCCCAGCTTGTGGCTGAGCGGAGCTCACTCTGTGGGAGCTCACTGACCACCAAGGGGCAGCTCCTGCATTGAGTGCCCCCTGGTGGTCAGTGCATGTCATAGTGACCGGTCTTTTCACTGTTAGGGTCAATTTGCATATTACCCTTTTATTATATAGGATTCTGGACGACTCCATTTCCCAGCAGACTTTATCAACTCTATTAAATCTGCCAAATTACCGTCAAGAATGAATGTGTTTAATTTTTACTTTACAATATTGCATAAGAGGAATACCCTTGCCAGCAGTTGATATTTTCCCATTTTTACTTTAACATATTTTGATTCTTTTTTCAGGAAGCCTTTGCTCGTCCAGGTTTATAAACATAGTCTCCCAGATTTTCTTCTAACATTTCTATTATTTTCTACATTGACTTTTCTAACCCATCTATATATGGATTTCTAATCCACATATAATTATTATCCACCTTGTAATAATTATGTATGCTTGCCTAAATAGCCGCTAACCACTCTCCCAGTTCCTCTTTTGATTTGAAATACCACTTTTTCACTTACTGGATTGTATTGTATAAATTATCTTAACTGTTTTTCTTTTCCTATGCCAACACCACACTGCTTTGATTTCTATGTTTTTACATCCGAGTCTGTGATATTACTCGTGCGTACATAGTTTGTGCAATTTCCTTATACCAGTTTTCCGTTCCTCTTCCTCCTCTCTTTTATACCTAATGTTAACCAGCTTTCTTTTCAATTAACTATTTTAAATGTGTTTCCATGTTTAAGCAACTGACAAGACATAGGCTCGTCAATGCCTGGAGCACAAAATTGAAAGGGGAACTTACTCTGACATGCAACGCCTTTCCAAATTCCTGACACTCTTTTTTTTTTTAATATTTTATTGATTTTTTACAGAGAGGAAGGGAGAGGGATAGAGAGTTAGAAACATTGATGAGAGAGAAACGTCAATCAGCCGCCTTCTGCACACCCCCAACCGGGGATGTGCCCGCAACCAAGGTACATGCCCTTGACCGGAATCAAACCTGGGACCCCTCAGTCCGCAGGCCGACGCTCTATCCACTGAGCCAAACCGGTCAGGGCCCTGACACTCTTACATGATCGCTCAAATCGCATTGCATCCCTCGCGAGAGAGTTGTTTTGATCAGCCAGTGTTTGTGATTTCTGGAGGAACAGAAATCTTGAAGGACTTCATAGGCCTTGTCCGTTTTGCCAGCATGGCGTCTGGCACGCTCCTCCCATGATTTTTTCCCCCCGAGAAAAGATGTTTAAGAGCTAACAGGGCAACCTGTAGGGCCTGGCGAACAAAAGCCAAGAAAAGCGAACGTTTCAAGAAGAGCATCGTCAGCTGCTAGGAGAGCAAGAAAGGTTTGGTCTGAAAGGTGTCAATGGGCTGAGTAGTCTCAGGAGGATGAGCTGCATCTTACGTAGCCATCTCTTCTCTTCTGACCCCATTGCCCTCACCCTGCTTAGGCCTCTGTTAAGAAGATCCTTCTGACTGTGTGTCTGTGCTAGTGTCTCTTTTTTGCTAGTCACCTGTGTCATTAGGTCTTTGGTGATGTCTTTCTCAAATGGAAAAAATATTACATCTTCTTTCCAGCTTCAGTTAAAATTGAATCTTAAGCTATATTTTCTCCTCCAATTGTGTCATCCGTGTAAACTTTCAGTATCAGTTGCCATTGAAATTTGTTCTCTAGGTAGAAAAATTTGGACTAGTATACATACCCTTAAGCGATGCCCATACTGACACTTACATTGGATCTTGTTTTAATATTCTCAACCAGAACCAGAGGATGACAATGTGATTAGACATATCCTCAGGCTGAGAAGAAAGCTTGGGTGGCAGACAAAATTACCGCACTGTAAGTTGGATTACGGGAATCCCGAAACTACAGTTCAGAAGATTACTGTAAAGGTATTATTTTATCCAACTGCGTACTATAAAAGTTAATGTTTGAAACTGTATCTTAATCTTGATATCATTCATTATACTACACTAGAGGCCCAGTGCACGAAATTCGTGCATTGGTAGGGTCCCTGGCGGCTGGGCCTTCCTCCCATTCACCCGCTGGTCCCACCCCCTGGTCGAACTCCCGGTCGAGGGGACAATTTGCATACTATGCTTTTATTATATAGGATTAGAATCATTATTATAGTAATGTCAAGTCATAATCTCGTTTCATGGTGAATGCTTATAAAAAGTATTTGGCATCACTTCATTTTGCTTATTTAAAGAATGGAACGGGTAAGAAAATCAATCTGCCTGAAATTGGAATGTACTCTTAACTTCATGTTTATCAGCTTTTTGTGATTTTAAAAAGAAATCCTGATGGAAAGATGGATGCAAAATTCAAAATTACAGTCATTGGAAGCTGTTTAATCAGTTCAGCAGCCTCTGAAGGCATCATTCACTGAATTAGAATAAGGAACACTAAGAGCTCTTTTATAATAAAAGTTAATTATCCAGAAAAGGCTAAATGAAACTTTTTTTTAATTTAAATTTTTTATTGTTTAAAGTATTACATATGTCTCCTTTTTCCCCCATTGACCTCTCCCTGGCCCTTCCCACCCCCCGTAAATGAAACTTTCTTACAGAGTTTTATCAGTAAATGTTAGAAGTTTCAAAGCTAAAGTAAATAAATTTGACTTAAAAACTTTCTTAGCAGGGAATGTCTGATTTCTCGGGCCCTCAAGTGAACGAGGAGGAGACACGAGAGTACATTGCAATAGCTCAGAACATGGGCTCAGGGTCAGCCTTGTATTCCAATGCCTACCTTGCCACTCTCTGACTTTGTGACTTTTCTCCAATTACCTAAATTCCCAACATAGTAATTTATACATCTGTTTACTGAGATTAAAAAGATCAATTTAAGAGATTAAAGTTAAGACGTTAAAAATTCTGTGGTTGTAGCCAAACCGGTTTGGCTCAGTGGATAGAGCGTCGGCCTGCGGACTGAAAAGTCTAAGGTTCGATTCCAGTCAAGGGCACGTACCTTGGTTGTGGGCACATCCCCAGTAGGTGTGCAGGAGGTGGCTGATCGATGTTTCTCTCTCATCGATGTTTCTAACTCTCTATCCCTCTCCCTTCCTCTCTGTAAAAAAAATCAATAAAATATATATATTAAAAAATTCTGTGGTTGTAGAGATATGTATGTAGAACACATGTTACTCATTAACTATTTATTGCTTGACAAATATTAGCTGTTATACTAAACCATCATCATTATCAAAAGAAATGATAAATTTCATATGCTCAAAAGGCTTCTGGTGTTGGCAGACAGATTTCCTGGAAGTGCAACATACCTGGCAAAGGTATGAGTTCTTTGAGTTAATAAGCATGCATGGCCTTGGTTGGTTTGGCTCAGTGGATAGAGCATCGGCCTGGGGACTGACGGGTCCCAAGTTTGATTCTGGTCAAGGGTACATGTCCAGGTTGCGGGCTCAATCCCCAGTAGGGGGCTACCAAGTTTGATTCTGGTCAGGGCACATGTCCAGGTTGCGGTCTCCATCCCCAGTAGGGGGCGTGCAGGAGGCAGCCGATCAATGGTTCTCTCTCATCACTGATGTTTCTATCTCTCCCTCTCCTTTACTCTCGTAAATCAATAAAAATATATTTTAAAAAAATAAGCATGCATGAGTAAGCATACAGATCAATTTTCATGAATGTTTTTTTTACCACATTATATATAAGAATGAAAATTAAATGCATTAAATCTTAAGATTGATCTTGTTGAACTCTGATTAGACACAATTTGATGTTAGCTTTTCTCTCAATATTATTTTTAATCTGTATTGACATTTCAGTTTACTGAGTAATGGGTCCAGTCATTTTACTACTTAATCTGGTCAAGTTAATGAAAAAAACTTCTTTTAACCTCAGAAACCTTTGGAAGATGATGGCGAGTTTGTATATTGCCTTCCTCGGAAAGACCCTAACATCTTTTGTAATCCATACAATCTTCAGGTGGTCTCTGCCCACAGAGCTAGAAATTGCAAAGAATTTTGGACTGTTACTGCTTCATTCGTTACAAAGGTAATATATAATGAAAGAAAATCAAGTTTGGCTATAGATGAGGCAGTGGGGGTCAGAGAGAGAAAACGCTTAATTATCCAGATAAGTGGTTCTGAGACAAACACAGGCTTTCTTCATTTCTTGAAGATAGTTCAGATATTTTAAAGAAATAAAGTCCTTTCATGCCTTCTATCTGCAGGTTACCAAAATAGGTGTCGTGGAAGATGTAGAACTCATACCTACTCTGGAATGGCTAATAGAAAGGAGATGTTTCTACGTATTACAAAAATTCAAGATCGTTTCTAATTTTCGGTGAGATGAATGAAACGGAACCCAATTGTTTGTAATGTGATCCTTTTGAAACAGTAATCTGCTGGATGATGTCTGGGTTTTGCTATAGTAAAGCCATATTTATGGGGAATTATAGAGGAAATGGAGAAGTCTATACGTTTTTTTTTTAGATAAAGGAAGCTTACCCACTTAAGTATTACAACTCTTAATTTTATCTTTTTGGATGAATATTGTAAGAAAAAGGTATTTTAAAGTCAAGTAACTTAAATGGACTATAATGACCTTAATTTACTTTCTGTTTTTCATCCCTTTATTTATTAAATGAATATTAATTGAGTCTGCTGCAAACCAGGCATTATTCTAGATGCTGTTGAACAAACCAAACAATTGTCCAGCTCTCAAAGGTCTTAGATTATAATGGGTGAGAGATAATGAAAGCACACATATATGCAAAATGTCAGATGAAGATGAAATACTATCCTTTATCATAAAAGGGTAATATGCAAATTGACCCTAATGATGGGACCACCGGGAACAACTGGTTGCTATGACGTGCACTGACCACCAGGGGAAAGACGCTCCTCAGGAGCTGCCCCCTGGTGGTCAGTGTGCTTCCACAGGGGGAGCTCCGTTCAGCCACAAGCTGGGCTGATGGCTGTGAGCACAGTGGTGGTGGCGGGAGCCTCTCCCACCTCCTTGGCAGCGCTAAGGATGTCCAACTGCGGCCCACAGGGATCCGGCCTAAGCCATCAGTCGGACATCCCCTGAGGGCTCTCAGGCTGCCAGAGGGATGTCTGACTGCCAGCTTAGGCCCGCTCCCCAGGTGGACATTTCCTGAGGGGTCCCAGACTGCAAAAGGGCACAGGCCGGGCTGAGGGACCCTCACCCCCTCCGCAAGTGTATGAATTTTCGTGCACCGGACCTCTAGTCTATATATATAAAAGCCTAAGTGACTGTTCGACCGGTAGCTATGATGCACACTGACCACCAGAGGGCAGACACTCAGTGCACAGGCATGGAAACAAGGAGCAGACTGATGAATCTCAGAGGGAAGGGGGAAAAGGGGAGGGGTGGAAGAGATTAACAAAGATCGTATATGCATACTAGAGGCCTCGTGCACGGATTCATGCACCAGTGGGGTCCCTCAGCCTGGCCTACGCCCTCGCGCAATCCGGGACCCCTCGGGGAATGTCAGACTCCCAGTTTCAGCCCGATCCCTGCAGGCCAGGCCAAGGGACCCCACCGGTGCACGAATCGGTGCACTGAGCCTCTAATGAAAAAATAAAACAGCATTCAGGAGCTTGGCAGTTTTTTTTTTTTAATATATATGTTTTTAATTGATTTTTTACAGAGAGGAAGGGAGAGGGATAGAGAGTTAGGAACATTGATGAGAGAGAAACATCGATCAGCTGCCTCCTGCACACTCCCCACTGAGGATGTGCCCGCAACCAAGGTACATGCCCTTGACCAGAATCGAACCTGGGACCCTTCAGTCCGCAGGCCGACGCTCTATCTACTGAGCCAAACCGGTTAGGGCGCCAGTTTGTTTTTTATTAAATTGATTGCGGTGACATTGGCTGACATGATCACATAGGTTTCAGGTGTGTGCTTCTATGTTACAAGATCTGTATGTTGCACCGTGTGCCCACCACCCAAAGCAGCTTACTGATTCAGACCATCGTTTAAAAATGTGTCTAGTTCGAAGTTTCTACCACAGCAGGATTCCTGAGACTCTGTGATCCTCCACAAAGGAGTTCCAGACCGCTGTTCTTCAAGGATTTATATCTTGTTTTGTACTTTTTAAATTTCCTCTCTAATGTGTGTCTTTTCTTGTGGTCTGCTGCTATCTGCTGGGGACTAGGAAAAGAGAGAAATAACATTTTCTTTCTTTCTTTTTTTTTGTGGGTTCAAGGGTGAGAGTGAGGACTGGGAGGAGGTGGTAGAGGTCAAAGGAGGAATGAGAAAGTGTCAAAAAATAGCATTTTAAATGATTACATTTAATATTGTGAAAATAGCTGGAATAACTAAGGAGCTAGAGAACTTTCTGTAAGACAAGTGAATGGGTTTTGTGGCAGGGAAAGCATTCACTTACTGAGCAGATACTTCTTGTGCCTGTTCTGTTCCACTGTTATGAGCCCTGGAGGTGCAACCATGTGAAAAATATACGAGGACTCTGTCCCTAGAGAAGTTCTAGTCTCTGGAGGGAGATAGATAACAAGTAAATCAGTGAGTTCATTTCAGGTAGTGAGAAGGGCCAGAAAGATATGTAAGACGGAGAAAACAGGTGTGTGTGTGTGTGTGTGTGTGTGTGTGTGTGTGTGTGCGCGCACGCGCGCGAGAGAGAGAGAGAGAGAGAGAGAGAGAGAGAGAGAGAGAGAGAGAGAGACTGGTAAATAGGATGGCTGATGAAAAGGGACACATCCATGTGAGGTCTTGAAAGAGAAAAGTTCCAGACAGAATACAGCGAGCAAGTTTAATAAGGGTGAGGAATGATCACCAGAGAAACCTTTTAGTTCCTTCTCTTTGAGTTTCGAATATTACAAATGCGTCTTTTTAAGAAAGCATACGTATTAAATGTTATCAAAAGGACATACATTGTCTTACATGTTTACTTACCGCGATACAGTGATTTCTTATCAATGTACCTTTTCACTTCATTATCACTTGAAAATAGAACCTTGACTCCCCTTGGAATATAAGTCTCTTTTAAAAATAGCCAGTAAATGTTTAAGGGGAAAGAATATATTTTTATAGTCTTTCTGTTTATTGGAGTGTTGCAACTAAATCGCTCATGCATCTATGAGGGTTATAATGACTTTCATTTACATTTACACTTTGTTCTCTATGCTGTTGGTTGTTTGGGAGAAAGTGATACGGTTTAGTATTTGCTTTAGGTGAGTCAGGATGGATGAAGTGCCCTAGAGAATTTTCTAGTTTTACCAAGCCTTTACTGAATTGATGTAATTGTGACTTATGAATATAGACTGTAAGAAGTCTTTTTCTTTTTCAGAATGAATAAAGCATTTGTTACTTGGAAATTGACTGTTAAAAGAATTAAGACAGACAGAAGCAGGTAAGTCTTGATAGAAATCTCAAGAGGAAGCCTTATTTTTAAATATTGTAGTATGGAAGCAGACATAAATCAATATTCACTCGGTGATTAGAAAGTCACATTCTATAACATGTATGATTAAGTTGAATCCATCTGCATTTGAATATTTTTTGTTAAACATAATGTTATGTATGTGTGTATATAAATGTGTAGGGGTGTGTGTGTGTGTGTGTGTGTGTATGTACACGTTTACACCATGCTGTGCTGTAAGGGAATCAGAGTGCTATGAAGAGCCTAGGATGAGCCCTAGCTGGTTTGGCTCAATGGATAGAGTGTCGGCCTGCGGACTGAAGGGTCCCAGGTTCGATTCTGGCCAAGGCTACATGCCTGGGTTGCGGGCTCGATCCCCAGTAGGTGGCGTGCAGGAGGCAGCCGATCAATGATTCTCTCTCATCATTGATGGTTTTTTCTCTCTCTCTCTCCCTTCCTCTGTAAAATCAATAAAATATATATTTTTTTAAAAAGAGCCTAGGATGAGATTCCCTTGGTCACTCGATATAACTTTCTGCTTTCAAAAAGAGGAGTGATTCAGTAATCCAAGGTAGATGACAGTGAATTCTATTTTGTAGGCTATCTGACAGCCAAGTTTCATTGCTGTCGTTGTTACTAAACTTTTTACTTGGAGATTGTTGTGATTGAGATGCAGTTGCAAGAAATGATGAAGAGGGACCCTATGCCCAGTTTCCCCCAGTGGTAACATCTTGCAAATCTGTGGTAAAATACGACAACCAGGACAGTGTGGTAGATGTAATACCTGTTAGCTATAGGCATATGAAACAAATTATACTAGTTATCTCTAAATTAACTCCATTCATTCAGAAGGAGAGATAATAAAGTCTGTGGACATGTTTTTAACTTTCAGGTCGTTTTTGTACTGCCATCTTTTCTGGGCTGATGAGTTATTTCAAAGCTCCTTGCTTTACATAAAGAGACTTTGTGAAGATGCTTTTAATCGCAGAAATGATGACGGATGTGAAGATAATTCATCTGCCATGTGCCTTGTAAAGGTGGGGAAAAGTAGCCCTTGTTGGTTTGGCTCAGTGGATAGAGCATCGGCCTGCGGACTGAAGGGTCCCAGGTTACATTCCAGCTAAGGTCACATGCCTGGGTTGTGGTCTCCATCCCCAGTGTGGGGCGTGCAGGAGGCAGCCGATCAATGATTCCCTTTCATCATTGATGTTTCTATCTCGCTATCCCTCTCCCTTCCTTTCTGAAATCAATTTTTAAAAAAGTATATTAAAAAAAAAAGAAAAAGTATACTACTATAAGCTAATATTGGTGGATAGAAACAAGGAAGAACAAATGGGGTTTTGAATCAAAGGAATACAGATATCTAGGTCCATAAGTAAACCATCACTACGGATGACTAATGTCCTAGAATACCTGTAAAGACCTTTATTCCCTCGGGTAGTCAGTTTTAATAGTTAGCATTTCTTATAAATAATTTCTTCCTTACACTTAACCTAAGTCTGTTATGCAGCCCTTTGTTTGCAAAACTCCAAATGTGCAATATTATTTATAAACAATCTATTGCATAACTGATAGTTACTAGCTAATCTTCCCTCAGTATAGCATGTCAAAAATTGTAATAAGTTGCAACTCAGGGGTTTAGGTTACATTTATGAATTCTCCTGTTCCACAGTTCTAAGAAAGGGTGAACTTCTTAATGAATGATTTAATTTATATGGACTAGTTCTTTCAAAAAGGTTAAGTATATAAACTATAAATTTTAAGTGTTTAATATACAATTGAACAGGGTTCCAGCGACTTTCACTTCCCTTACCCACTGTGGGAGGGAGATAACTGAAAAGTAAAATTGATAATCATCTAGACTCAGAAAGAGAAATAGTAAGAGGGCTTGGACAAGTTATACATTTGACAAGCAGCTCAAATTAATCGTGTTGACTATACACATATAATAAGATGAATACTTGTACATCAACAGCTTATTTTTAGAATTGGTCATGTGTATTGACTATTACATAGTAGGTGCTCAGTAGTCTTTGAATGAATGAGTAAATAAAAGAATGAATGAAGAAAGATGGATTAATCATTACATATAAAGTAATATTTTGTACTAGAGGCCCGGTGCACAAAAATTTGTGCACTCAGGGGGGTCCTTCAGCCCAGCCTGTGCCCTCTCGCAGTCTGGGACCCCTCGGGGGATGTCCACCTGCTGGCTTAGGTCCGCTCCCTGGGGGATCGGGCCTAAGCTGGCAGTCAGACATCCCTCGGCAGCCCGCAGCCCTCGGAGGATGTCCACTTGCCAGCGGGGAGCAGGCCTAAGCTGCAGTCGGGCATCCTTAGCGCTGCTGAGGAGGTGGGAGAGGCTCCTGCTACCACCGCTGTGCTGGCAGCTGTCAGCCTGGCTTGTGGCTGAGCAGAGCTCCCCCTGTGGGAGCGCACTGACCACCAGGGGGAAGCTCCTGCATTGAGCGTCTGCCCCCTGGTGGTCAGTGTGTGTCATAGTGACCAGTATTCCCAGTCGTTCTGCTGTTAGGGTCAACTTGCATATTACCCTTTTATTATATAGGATAGTTCTATTGTGAATATTAATGTTTCCAAAGGATTAAATTTCAGTTAAGTAGGAGACATTTCCCAGGGGAGTGTTTTTTTGATACAGTTTTAATGTAGAAGGAAATTGGTTGGGCAGCTGTGGTATTCGAGTGTTTGATGAATGGCTGAGTGACAGGATTTATCACTTCACTTCATGGTGGGTTAAAGCAAAGGAGACTTTAGAATATCTCTGCAGACTGTGCTTGAAATATTAGTGGATGATAACCCTAACAGAAAAGGGAGGCTAGGACTCTTTCCTGGAGACCTTCGCCTCGTCAGCTTCCGCCAGACATCAAGGGTCAGGGAACAGACCTTCCCAATCAGACGCGTGTTTGTGAATTACCCTTTATACGCAAAGTGCTGTGCAAAGGAGATGCGTGTGAAGTGAAAAAGGAAGCACCTCTTACAGTTCATTGGAAAAGATTATCCTTTGCATGTAAAAATGGTAACTGATTCTCAGGGTATTCCCTCCATTTTGCTAAGCATTGTAACTCACCAACCAATTAGGAGGCAATGAGCAATCATGCCAACGGGCAAGCAATACTGTAAAACAGCTAAGCCACAGACACTGCGGAAGCCTTTGGCATTGGTTAGGGCACGTTTCACGAAGGAAGGCTTCCTGAGCTAGGCCTTGCGGGGTTTGGGTAGCCAGGGGGGAGCAGCCAAGTGAGGAATAGGAATGTGAGTAAAGCATTCAGTTTTGCAAGTTAGTTGGGTCTGGAACGTGGGGCCAAGAAGAACAGACGAAGGGAACAGTAGGAGCAGAGCCTGCCCTTAGGGCAGGGGCGCCCCTAGCGAGGGCGTGAGGGCAGTTGGCAAGAACAGGAAGGGGTTCCTGAGGCTGGAGGAACCAGGGTCAAAAGGAGGGGGAACGGAGCCTGGGGTGGGGAATCGGAAGCTGGCCAATGGGGCATTAGGACTGGGGGCGCTATTCATAGCTGGGGGTGCAGGTGCCAAAGGATTGACAAGGAGGAGGTGAGACAAGAAAGGTTAAGGATGCATACAAGGGGGTTGTTCAAAGGTGGGGACCACGAATGGAGTTCTTGAGTTGACCCGTCTACTCCCCAGTCGAAAGCACACCTTTAAAGGGGCCTGGCACGTCTGGAACTAGAAAGGAGGGAATACATGTGGGTCATTTTATCCAAACCTTCCCTTTCAAATGACAGATGGAGTCCGAGAGAGAGAGTGTGACTTAGCCAAGGCCACAGAACCAGCGGGAGTTGGGACTTTGTTTCCCATTCAAGGGTGATTGCGCTTTCGGGGGGACGGTATTTTGAGCGTTTCATAAAATGTAAGTTTTCGTTTCCCACCGCTATGGGAGGAGGGTGCTGTGAGTGGGAATGTACAAAGTCCCTCAGCTGGTTTGTGCGGAGTAAACTTGGAGAACTGTTCTTAAAGAGCAACCCTTGCAAGTGTCTGAACGTGCTACTTAAGAAAATTCGTGTGACGTTGGTTGGCTTGTGGGGAAAATTGTAGGTGCGGAGGTACGGAATTAAAGAGATCGGTTAGTATGGACTGTAATAATGTAGGCATAAGCAACAGGAACTTTAATTAGGGCGTCGGCAGTGAGATCAGAAAGGAAGGGAGATTGGAGACATTTAACCTGGAAAATTGGGGCCTAGAAAACAGATATGGGACCAGGAGAGAGAGAACACAAAGAGTTAATCCACGGTGTTAAGGCCAGAGCAGTGCTTTTCAATCGTATTTTAACTTTGGAAGATGATTTGTTATAAAGTGGTATCGCCATATAACTAGGGATAAAGATGTTCACGTTTATTGATGGAAATGTATTTTGGCAAAAGGACTAACGTGATACGGGAAAAACAAGAAAAAATACCGAAAGGAGGAAGAAGGATGGGGGATATATGTGAATGGGTGAAACGTTCAGGGAGGAATTCAGTAGCAGAGTTAATGGAAATTTCTGAATAAATTCAGAAGAATACTTACCTTACTTGTATAGTTAATTTGAATCTCTTTATCCTACATTTAGTGTTTATGTTTTTTTAAGTTTTACAAATCATTGGGACTTCAAGGTGAAGCAATTCCTGAGATTGGTGGTTCCCCGGGGTTCGTGGATATTTCAAAAACACATCAGCTCTTGAATTGTTTTCCTTTGGCTTACTTTAGTTACAATTAAAATAATGTATTTTTCTGTGTGTGTTTTTTAAAAAATAAAGACTTATTTATATTTAACTATGGGTGTTTGAATAGGAAAGACATATAAGGCATATAGTGTATAAAGCATAACCTACAAATGAAAATATAAAATATGCTCGTTATGATATGAGAAGATGGCCAAAATGTTTTTCTCCTCTCTCTCTCTCTCTCTCTCTCTCTCTCTCTCTCTCTCTCTGAAATGAATTTTGACTTTGCAACATTTATCATTTTTGACAAATTTTGACATTTTTCAACATTTATCATCCTTTAGCTGGATACGTCTCGGACATACTCTCTGGATGAATTTTGTGAGGAACAGTTACAGCAAGCTTCCCGCACATTCAAACGACTTGAGGATATCAGGGATAAAGCCATTGCAGAAATGAAAAGGACACTTTTAAAGGTAACTCTTCCATGATATCCTCGCAGTGGATCAGTTTGTATGTTACTGACTAAAGCAATGGCTTCAAATCGCATCCCCGGAGAAAGGGTTGGAAATGGGCAGGTAGAGGGACCAAGGACTAGTTAATTAGCCAACTAACTAGTACTGTGCACTCCCTAGCTGCATGTACAGGAAATTTTCCAGGCGTTGTATAGAAGGCAAATATTTGTGCGACTAAGTATATATGTGTGTTTATTGAATTGTAGGTGGCAGAAAAGGAAGAAATTAGAGAATTTTTTGAATCAAGCTGCTCTAAAAATGCCAGATCGCATTTCAAGCTGCCTGTATATCGACGTTTATTAAAAAAATTTTTGAGGTTTTTCATGCTGGTTGACTACATATTTCAGGAGCTCATCCGCCAGCTGATGAACACTGCAGTCACCCTGCTTTTGGAATTATTTCATAGTTCTGCTAGAATGCCATTTACAGCGGAAAAAAGGAATGAAAACCTAATCAAGTAAATCATATTTTCTTTTTACTGATAAAAGGAATTTGTAATCATAGCGTTGCAAACATTGATTGTCCATGATAGAGGAAATAGCCAATAGTTGAAGTGAGAATTTGAAAGTTCTTCTTATAGCAAATTGTATGTGCTCAATTTTTACAATTATCTGGCAATACTTTGCTTAATACTGTCCATAACATTTAAGAAAAGTTTCCAATATTTCTTCAAAATTCTGCATATGTCTGATGGCCATATAAAATATGGGCTGGCCAGTACAATTTGAAATTCAGATATGTAATAATTTTTTAGTGTGTCTCAAGTATTACCTATCCTAAAAATTATTGTTTGTTTGAAATGCCAGTTCAACTGGGTGTTTTGTACTTTGATTTGCTAAATCTGGAAATTCTGTGTATAGGGCTAATTTGAAGTTCAGGGCCAGTTCTTAAAGATTATCAGGGTGATTCGAGAAGGAACCCATAAGCTTCCATTGGAATTTGAGTCAATTCTGCTTAAATGAGACATACGAATTTTTCATGGTAGTAAAACATAAATAACAAAATTTACCATTTTTGAATATATAATTCAGCGACATTAAGTACGTTCAGTCTTGTGCAACCATCAAGGTATTCATTTCCAGAACTTTTTCATTATCCCATTCTTAAATTTTATGAGACTCTGCACCCATTAAACAGTCACTCATTGTCCTATGTGTACACCCCCCACCAAGCCTTTGTAACCTCTATTGTCCTTTCTGTGACTACGAACTTACTATTCTGAGTACCTCAGATAAGTGGAATCATACAATATTTATCTTTTGTGTTTGCCCTATTTCATTTAGCACCATGTGTTTAAGGCTCATCCGTGATGTAGCATGTAACAGAATTTCCTTTTTAAGGCTGTATAATATTCCATTGTGTAGATATACCATGTTTTGTTTGTTTGTTCGTTCATCTGTTGATGGTAGTTGGGTTAGCCTCCTGGCTATTGAGCCACAACAGCTGGGCGAAGCTGCAGCATTTTAATTTCCACCAGCAAAGCACCAGGCTTCTACCTCACTACTATTTTCCTTTTTAAATAGTAATACCCAGCCTAATTGGTATGAAGGGATATCTTGTTATGGTTTCGATTTGTAATTCCCTAACGATTAGTGATGCTAAGCATATTTTTGCATGCTTATTGGCCATATTTCTTTGGGGGAATGTCTAGTTATTTATGTTTTGTGGATATTAACAAGATAACAAGAATTTAAAAGACTGCATCTTTGCTTTCCATTTCTTAATCTAGAACATACAAGGATATCTTTGCTCTTACTGGAAAGATAACAAATGATTATGAAGAACTTGTTATTAATTCAAACTTATATGCTACTTCTGTTCCAAAGTCGGACTTAAAAGCAGAAGCTGATATTAATGAGGTAAATGGTCTTTGAAAAATATAAACATAGATTTTTAATGAATGAATAAGTGAAAAGTAAGTGAAATAAGTTTGGAAATTAAAATGTGATTTATGATGAATGCTCAATTTCTTACCCAAAACACACACACGCACGCACGCACGCACGCACCTACCTCTGCTTCCACTATAGAAAGCTATATTCACACTTACCTTCATGCATTATTGTGTTCATACTATGTACCAGGCACTGAATTAGGCACTGAAGTAGACCAGTGGGCAGTGCTAATGAAAATACCAGGCAGAGGTCATTTTCCAGAGCAAGCGATGCAACACTTTATATATTCGTTTGGAACTGCCGGTGTGGGCTTTTATTTATTGTGGTCAAACAGCAGAAAATGGGCCACTTGAACCACTTGTCAGTGGACAATTCAGTGGCGTCGGTGCGTTCCCAATACGGTGCGACCATCTCATCCCACTTCCAGGACTGTCTCATCCTCCCACACAGGAACTCTGTCCCCGTGCCTGTAGGACTTTTAAGACTTGCAAGTCGCCGTCCGCATCCACCTAAGCTCTTTCCCAGCAGCTTCACCGGGTGCCAGTGGCGTTTCTTCTTTTTTCTTTTTTTAAAAATATATTTTATTGATTTTTTTATAGAGAGGAAGGGAGAGGGATAGAGAGTTAGAAACATCGACGAGAGAGAAACATTGATCAGCTGC